GGGGCGTGGGGGGGGGGGGGGGGGGGGGGGGGGGGGGGGGGGGGGGGGGGGCTGCAAGTCCTCATTACACCTTGTTCTAGCCTCATGGCCAGCTTCAGTGTGATGTCTTTAAAGAGAGCCAAGCACACTCTCCCATCATATAGCCCTGGTGGCACCACCAATCACATCTCCTCACCCTCTAACTGAAGCAGCTAGCCAGAATGCATCCTGAAATGAACTGTGGCCTAGGATATATTTTAATAGCACTCTCTGACACTCTGCCTACAGCCCAGCCAGAGTGCTTTTACAGTCCCAAGCAGTTTTATGTTCACTGTTCTTAGAGCTTCACAAACATTCCCAAGATGTAGGAAGGGAGGATAATGCCTACATTAACAGACGAGGAGCCTAGAGAAAGTGCTTTTGGGTTCAAGCTAGATGCAAGTAAACGCAAGATGGGCCTAACCTGGAGTCTCTATTGTTAGAAGCAGAAGGAAGGCCTCCTATGCCTGGCCGGTCTAGCTCGGGACACCTTTCTTTCACAGCAATCTACCAGGGTGCCACATAGGGGTGACCACCTGGGCCGTTGGAGCTGGATTCCCAGGAGAGCACACCAGCCTCTAAAGCTTGGGTTCTTCGTTTGGAGGGCACACATAAAATACCCACCTTTTGAAGCTGTCACAAAGATTATGGTGGCTACTATCATCGTTAACTAAGGTACCTAAGAACCCTTAGATGCATGCATCTCACAGACATGCCCAGCTGACCCACCCAAGTACTAGGATGCAACTAAGGGATGTTCATGTAGCATGTATGAGAACCTGGGCTCCATGTCCAACACCACAAAATGGACAAACAAAAAACCCAAGACAATCCCAGATCTCAGGAGGCAGAAGCAGGCAGACCTAGGAGTCAAGGATTGAGATCCGTCAATCAGGGCAATGACAGACCCTGTCTCAAGATCAAAGATGAACAAACAAACCAAATGGGGCACATCCATTTAAAAAAAACCAAAAAAACAAAACAAAAAAAACCCTACAATATGTTGCCTATATTTTAAAATTATTTCATATCAAGACCATAGCATATGGCTTCTCTTCAGAGCTCAGAGGTCTTGTCTGGTGGAGCTGTGACCCGGGCTGGTGACAGCCACCCCTTTACTTGGAGCATATATTCTTTAACTGTTAACTTCCCACCCAGGCTACTTTACCAAGTACCCGCCCAGTCCTTGCAGACATGTGGAAATCCTCGCTGATATTCAGGAAAGCGCTCTTGCCTTCCCTTTACAACTCAGGAATGGAGACACAGCTTCAAACCTGGTGAGCCACACACACTCCACAGCTCAGGGCACTATGGGTGTGGCTCCAGGGAGCACCGAGGACTCTGGAGGACAACTAAGAGGGCAGACAAGCACTTAATATACTCTAGCAAACCCACACAGGGAGCCCAGGAACCAGCAATATAAGCCTCAAAGTAAAGTCAAGAGCTTACCTTCTTAGGCAAGAAGTGAACCCCAATGGGGTATTTATCTGGGTGGGTCCACAGCTCAATCTGTGCCATCACCTGGTTTGTGAAGGAGTTGCTCATCACGAAGCTGGGATGGCCCATGGCACAACCCAGGTTGACCAGTCGGCCTTCAGCCAGCAGGATGATTCGGCGCCCATTCTTCAGCCGATAGCGGTCCACCTGCAAGTCCCCATGGCAACAGTAAGGGCTGGTGGGCACTACCCATCTCTGCCCACCTCCTACCCTGCACAAGATGGCCTGAAATGCCCCCAAACAACCACCCTACAGAGCTAACACACACAATAAACCAGTCTGTTCTGAGAAGTTAGTAATTCAAACCTATAAAGCATTGGGCATACTTAGGAGGTAACAGCTGTTACTGTCAATACTGCCATATAGTCTGTCCTGAATCCTTTATACATATATGACTATCATTTTTTAAAATTTATTTTTATTTTATGTGCACTGGTGTTTTGCTATGGGTGCCAGGTCCCTGGAACTGGAATTACAGACAGCTGTGAGCTGCCATGTGGGTGCTGGGAATTGAACCCAGGTCTTCTGGAAGAGCAGTCAGTGCTCTTGATCACTGAGCCATCTCTCCAGCCCCATATGACTATCATTTAAGTGCTTCACCTCCCCCTTTTCACAAATAAACTGAAGTTTACAAGGCTGAGTCACTTGTTCAGAGCTACACACGAAGAAATGGCTGCAATCTGAGCCTTGACCATTGGAGGGAGGTCTGACCTCATGTTCTCAATTGTCATTAAAAAGCGGAATGCAGGATGGTGAGATGGCTCGGTGGGTAAAGTTGCTTGCATTCAATCCCTGAGAACCACACGGTGGAAGGGGAGAATCAACCACGACAGGCTCCTCTAACCTCCACATGCAAGTATGTATGTGCTTACACACGAGCATGCACATAAAATGACTGAGTAGAATGTAGCTTTGTGTGTGTGTCAGTGTATATATATGTTAGTATCAGTGTGTGTGTGTGTATATACAGATATATATGTCAGTATAAATATATATTTGGTCAAATGCAAGGCTGGAGATGTGGATCACTTGGTAAGAGAATCCTTGCCTAGCTTACATGAAGCACTGGGTTTAATCTCCAGCTCTACAAGGCAAAAAAGAACTTAACTTAAAAGCTCTTAATGTACAAATCCAAAAAGTTTTCCGGGAACATTACTTTTATAATCAGGTAAATAAATAAGCCAACAATAAATAAAAGCCAAATTAAGTTGCACATACCCCAAAGGAATGCCCCACAGCAAAGCTGCCCTTTAGCTCAGTTAATGGCTTACTCTGCACAGAGCTGTTCTAGACAGTCATGCAGTGTCCCTTTCCTGGCCTCCCCCATCCTGACCCTCTGCCAGCTCAGCCCACGCTCTTCAGCTGCCAGCATGCCCGCCTGGCTGTGAGCACCCTCAGGGCCTTATCTCTTTGTCCACCGCTCACAAGCACAAGTGGGCTTTCTCAAACAGCAAGGCCACTGTGCACGGCACACATGCTGATACCTTCAAGGACGACCGAGGCCTCAGCATCAACTCTGATACCTCAAACCTAGCTCTGAAACCAGGCTTCTCCAACATACACCCCACTCCCTAGGTCACACCAGCTTCCAGGGCGGGCAAACTACAAGCCTGTTCCCCCTCCTCAGCCCGGCGGGGCAGGCTGGGGCTTCTCACCTGGGGCTTGATGTTCACCTTCTCCACAGCGTTCTCATTGAGCCACTTCACATCGATCTCCACATCGAAGTGTCCAATGTTACACACAATGGCATCATCCTTCATCTGCTCAAAGTGCCTGGAAGGGAGCCCAACCCTGTGAGGGACCGGAGACCAAGAACAGCCCCAAGCCTGGGAGCCTTTGCTCCCCAGGACTCCCACCTGGTACCCACCGGCCAAGGATGATGTCAACACAGCCTGTGGTGGTGACAAAGATGTTGCCCTCCTTACAGGCCTCGTCCATGGTGGTCACCTCATAGCCTGCACGGACAGTGAGCATGTGTTAGCAAAGGTGGCTCACCCTTGTTCTAGCCCCAACAGCCAACCCTTACTCTACCATACCCTCCATGGCAGCTTGCAGTGCATTGATGGGGTCAATCTCGGTGATGATGACTCGGGCCCCAAAACCCCTCAGGGCCTGGGCACAGCCCTTGCCCACGTCACCATAGCCTGCTACCACTGCCACCTTGCCCGCAATCATCACATCTGTGGCCCGTTTGATGCCATCTATGAGGGACTCCCGGCAGCCATAGAGGTTGTCAAACTTGCTCTGAAAGGAGAGGGGGCAAGGGGACAATGGGGGCAGGCAAGACCCTGAGGCCAGGCCTTAAAGCATCCCACAGGGCTGAGACTTGAGCCCACTCAGTCAGCCTGAGCAGACCCCTAAGAATCTTCTCCACTAGACAAAGCCAACATGTCCTTCCCTCCTCATCAGCCTCCAGACTATCTCCCTCATGTTCTCTGCTGGTCTAGAAGTCTTTCTAGGGAATCAATGCCCAGGACAGGCTGCTGAGTCTAAGAATTGATTAACTTTAAAGCTATTGCAAACCAAAGCCACAATGTTCCTGCACAGCTATGACCCAGTACACTCGCCATCCTCAGACTGTTGCCCCATCTTCCCTCCTGGCCACCCTTCTTCAGAGATCCATTCCTAAGTTCACTGGGCAACTAACAACTGGAGTTGAGTTTCCCCCCGGGCTCACCTTGGTGACAGAATCATTGACATTGATGGCAGGCACCTTCAGTATCCCATTGGCCATCATCTTGTAGAGGTTGTGGACCCCAGTCGTGGTCTCCTCAGAGATGCCTCGGATGCCTGAACAAAAGAGGGAGAGCATCAGAGAACACATCTCTACCCATAACCCTTTTCACTCCCTGGCGTCCCTCTCCTTCATTCCCATCTGTTCCTGACTGTAAAGTTCACCCAGTCACCATCTGACGTCCTACTGAACCCTAGTGATGCACGCCCAACATCTTCCACCCACCACTGTGCAGTGCCGACACCACTCCGCCCAGTCGTCCTGTCCCAGCCTAGAGTACCCTCCAGAGAAGGCTTCCCTCATTTACTAGTCGTGGCTAGTTTTGTACAGTCAATCTTTTCCTACCTCAGGGCCTTGGTATTCTCCAAACTCCATCCTCCTCCTCTCTGTCACAGTCCACAAAGCTGCTTCTCTGCGACCATTCCTAGCCCTACCCTGCACTGGCCTTGGTTTATGAACTCAGCCAGCTCTGCCCCCACCCCAGTTACCCTGGCTTTACATCACACGTCAGAAGGCAGCCTCCATATGGCAGGAACCTCCTGTCTTCCAGTCCTATGGAGAATCCGGACGTTCCGCCAGACCCCCTGCCTCATGTCTGTGAAGGAGCAGGCTCCCTTCAGTCTACCCGCTTACCTGATAGAAGCTGTGGGTATTTGGTGTGGATGAGGTTGGTGAGGTCGCCTCCATCGTCCAGAATCATGTTGAGGGGGCCATCTTTGAAGTGCAGCGTCTGCTCAATGCACCACAGGTACTCTTCATCTGTCTCACCCTTCCAGGCAAACACTGCAGGAGAGCGGCACGTGAGAAGCTGGCAGGGGGCTCCAGAAAGAAAGTTCTACCAACAGTGCCAATGCTGTCTGCTTCCTAGTTCCCATGCCTAGCTACGTCCAGCCCCTACCAAAACAGCAGTGGGAAACACACAGACCGAAGCTAAGCAGATCTAAGTTCAGAACTTTCCAGCCATGTGACCTTGAGAATCACACTTGCGCACATCAAGTGACACAGAGACCGCGCATGGCCCTAGACATAGGTGTCCAGAAATAATTTTCCCTTTTGCTTCTCCTTCTGCCTGGGCTCCATGAAGTAGGTGTACTGGCCCCTACAGAACAGGGCTCCTACCCAGAGAGACGTCCTACTCACCAGGCACCAGTAAGATCCTGGTTTGCTCACTGAAAGGTCTTGAGGGATTCCAGGTTACGCCCGGTCAAAACTGCCCAGCACACGCTATAGATGGAGCATCCTCTGTGCCAGGCACAGTAACTGCTCTGTGCCCGTTCTCGTGTTCCCTCATGCAAACCCCATGAGGAGGCATTGCCATCACCACTTACAAACCCCTAAGAGAGACTGGGGAACGCAGCGTCTGAAGCAAGGGTGCAGGCTGCTGGCTGCTGCTCCTCCCAGCTTGTGGAACTCCACAGGTGGGGGTACAAGAGTCTCCTGTTTACACAGGACACTGGCCAAGTAGCCAGCTGCCTCCCTCCCCACAATTGTAGAAGATACTTCTATTAAAGCAAGGCCTCTTCTGAAGGAGGACCGAGCCTCACCAAGGTGGGGGCTGCTGACAGGCACTCAGCCCTGTGAGGAACCCCTCCCACTGACCCCCTACCTACAGCTGGTTAGGATTCCTCCTGCCCCCAAATGTATGAGTGTTTTACCTACAAGTATGTCTGTGTACCCTGTGCTGAAGACAGAAATGATATTGATTTTCTGGGTCTGGAATTACATACATTTGTGAGCTGCCATGTGGGTGCTAGGAATTGAACCCAGGTCCTCTCTCCAGTTCCCTGATAAAAGCTTTTTTGTTGTTGTTTTTGTTTTTCAAGACAGAGTTTCTCTGTAGCTTTTGGGACCTCTTCTGAAACTCTACAGAAACCAGGATGGCCTCGAACAGAGATCCGCCTGCTTCTGCCACCCGAGGGCTGGGATTAAAGTCATGCGCCACCACCGTCCGGCCAAGATTCTTGTATATTTTATTTAATCACCACTGAATCTAACAGGTCCCATCAGCCCTACCCCCACCCTGCCGCAGTCCAGGTACCATTTTGCAACAGTCTGAGACAAAGTCTTTGCTCTCTGACCTGGTCCTTTCTCATGCTCCTAAACTACCATACCTCAGTCAGTGCCAAAGACTCCTGTTCTGCCTTACACCTCACCAGCTCCTTAGAAAAGGATCCAGAGTCCCTCTAACGAACATCCCCACCCTCTGCTCCATGTGGCTCCCAATCTTCAGATCCTTTCCTTACAGACCACAAGCTCAGCGGTCAGTAAGTATCTTCCATGGAATCTGAGCTGGGAGGACTATAAATCAATAGGTTAAGGGCCTCTGTTTGCACATGGAGGCCTTTAATGCAGGGGTCAGTAAGAGAACCATGAAAAAGCAAAGTGCTTTATCCACGCCCACATACCACAGCGAGCTCACCTGGAATGCCGGCCTTGGCAATGGCAGCTGCTGCATGGTCCTGAGTGGAAAAGATGTTGCAGCTGGACCACCGCACCTAGAAGGGCCAGGAAAACAAGGCTGTTGATCACGGGTAGCTATGAAGCATCCTGTTAGGAATAGGAAAAGGGAAGCCCTGAAGCCAAGAGTGAAAGGCTGGGGACTCTGGGCAAGTGAATGACTAGAAGCCAGAGCAGTAAAGTTAGCACTAGAGTTTAAAAAAAAAAAAAAAAAAGGCAATAAATCACCGAGCCAAGCATGGTGGTATATATGTGTATAATCCTAGGACTCAAGATGTAGCGGCAGGAAGATCAGGGCCAGCTTGGGCTATATGGGGAATTCCTGGCCAGCCTGAGTTATACAGTGAGATTCTGACTCAAAACATATATAAACAACTGGAAAGATGGCTCCGCAGTTAAGAACACTTGCTGCTCTTCTAGAGGACCCTGGTTTGGTTCCAGCACCCACACTGCAGCTCACAACCACCCACAGCTCCAGTTCCAGGGGACCAGCTCTGTGGGAACCAGGCACGTAGGTGGTACATACGCAAGCATGAAGGTGCAGACAAAACCAAATAAGTAAGAAAACAGTACTCCAGTGCAATGTGAACAAGGAGACGGGGAAGGAGCTACTAAAGCAGGGTGCAGGGAAGAAATGCAGCAGCAACAGTGGAAGTGATGTGTGGCTGTCATACGCCGGGCTCCTCGTGCAGAGAAAACCTCCAGCAAAGACGTCGGGATGAGGAAGAAAACTGCTAAGTTTGTCTGGACTTGTTCAGCCTGAGCTGGGTACTTGAGCTCCAGGTGGCCTGTATCAATACTCAGGCACGGCAACTGTGGGTCCAGGTCAGGCTTGTACATGATTTAAAGCCGGGAGAGGCAACGGCTGAGAGCACTAGCTGCTCTTCTGCAACCCGAGTTCAATCCCAGTCCCACACGGCGGCTCACAACTGTCTGGAAACCCAGTTTGGGAAACTAACACCCTCTTCTAGTCTGCTCGGGCACTGCGTGCAAGCGGTGCACAGATGTACGTGCAGGCAGACATTCATACACACAAAATAAAAACAAGTCTAGGAAAAAGTCAGTGGAGGTGGGTGTGAGCAGGAAAATCCCAGTGCTTGAAAGGCTGAGGTACAAAGACAGCTTGAGCCCAGCCTGAACTACGCAGTAAATTCCAGGATAGCCTAGGCTACAGAGTGGAATGCTGCCTCAAAAAACAAACAGGCCAGGGCTGGAGAGATAGCTCAGAGGTTAAGAGCACTGGTTGTTCTTCCAGAGGTCCTGAGTTCAATTCCCAGCAACCACATGGTGGCTCACAACCATCTATAATGAGATCTGGTGCCCTCTTCTGGCCTACAGGCATACATGCAGACAGAACACTGTATACGTAATAATAAAATAGATCTTAAAAAAAAAAAAAAAAACAGGCCCTCCAGTATTCTTTGTGGTTCCCCTACCCCACCAGGCCCCTCCTTGGGATCTTATTCCACATGATCCAGGTTCAACAAATCATAGCACTCTACTTTCTAGAAGGCACCCGACTCCTAGGAAGGCTAACGGGAATGGTTTAGATGACCAAATGGAGTATCGTTTTCTCTTACTATGCTCTCAGGCAGGAAGATGTATTGAGGAGTCAGCTACCTTCCCAACTGGAGAAAATAGACCAAAGACTCTGCCACCATGGGTGACAGCAGAGGGAAGTGGAGAGAAAACCCAGGTGACCAGAGAGGCTCTGCCAGCTACACCCCCTACCAGTACAGTCTTTCCCCACGGCTGAGCCCAGAGAGTGTGAGGGACAGCTGTGGACCTCACCTCAGCACCCAGGGCCACGAGAGTCTCGATGAGGACTGCAGTCTCCACAGTCATGTGCAGGCAGCCAGCGATGCGGGCACCCTTCAGTGGCTTGGACGCCGAGTACATCTCCCGCATGCGCATCAAACCGGGCATCTCGTTCTCGGCTATGTCCAGGGCCTTTCGTCCCCAGGCAGCCAGTCCAATGTCCGCTGCAGGAACAAGATGGCCAAGTTCCATGAGCCACCTCCTCCCACCCAGGGCCATGTTTACCTTTGGGGAGCTCAGGTCTTCTCACTCACCCTAGGAAATGACGGGTGAAGAAAGGAGGCTGCTACAGAAATTTTAATAATTTAGCCAATAGTTAAACAAGCCAGGAGTGGTGGACACGCCTGTAATTCCAGATGGAAGCAGGAGGTTCACCCTTGACTACACAGCAAGTTCAAAGCCAACCTGAGCTACATAGTCCTATCTCAAATACTACTACTACTACTAAGACTTTATTCTCTCTCTCTCTCTCTCTCTCTCTCTCTCTCTCTCTCTCTCTCTCTCTCTCACACACACACACACACACACACACACACACACAGAAGCATTGACCGCAGGCCATCAACAATGAGAGCTCCTTCAGAAATCTGAATGTCAAGCAACCGCCTCTGGCCATGTCTTCTCCCTATACATTACCAACTCCAAGAAGGAGCAGTTCAGACTCTAAAGCATCCATTTTATCCATTTCTAGTGTCCCTTACCCCGCCCCCTTCATGATCTCCCCTTCTTTTTCCAGTCTAGGATACCCTGCTCTCTCGGCCTCTGGGACCTCACCTGGCGAAGCTCACACCCGAAGCTAGGTGGGTGGCTTCATGCCTGGAATTCCAGCACTAAGGAAGCTGAGGTACGAAGAGTGCCATGATTTTGAGGTCATCCTGAGCTTCACAGAGACCTATTCTCAAAACCAAAGTTCCCACCTAGTTAGAGCCAGCTCTCCACTGTACCTAAGGCCTGAACCAGCAGAATCGCAGTCATGGGATGAAGGTCTTGCTTACTATGAACAAATAACTCAAGGGACACCTGGCACATCCTAGCAATCCCACTACATTTTCCTAGTAAGTTTATCCCCTCCCCCTAGTCATCTCTCCCCATCGCCTGATAATATCACTTCATAGTTCTGAGAATACAAAATCATCTGTCCATGAACTCCACCCTCCTCTGTGATTAGACTCGGGATTCTTGGCTGTCGGAAAGTACCAGCTGTCCCTGGTCCCTGATTTTTCTCACCCCTCAGATCTCACTGTTCCATTACGGGCACCACTGAGGTGATTACTTATGCTCAGGTTTCTCACAGGAGCAGGGACCCCACTACCAACTCTGAAATGCTTGCTTTCCCTTGGCATCCGAGTCTCTCTTCTCCCTCCTTCCTTCCTGGCTGCTCTTCACCTGACATACTCTAGGAGGCCTGAGTATACCCATCATTGTTCCTCTCCAACTCCTGCCAATTAAGTTCTGTTCAGGTGATCGTGAATGCCTTCCCTGGGGTGATGACTCCCACGTATTTACCTCCAAGTACAAACTTCTCCCAGGAATCTGAGACTCACAAAATCCAACTGCTGACTCAGCACCTCTCGTCTGGTGTCCAACTATTATCCATCAAGTACAAGGCTTCAAGACTGCTTGGCTACACACCCTCAATCTTCCCATTTTAGGAAATGAAACCACCATTCAATCTGCCACTCTTGCCAAAAACCTGTAAGATTTCCCGTTTCCATTTTTGCTTCTATCAGCAGGTTTTTTGTTTGTTGTTCCTGCAACTCTGTGAAACTCACTATGGAGAGCAGCCCGGCCTCAAACTCACAGAGAACTAACTGCCTGCCCCTGTGTCAAGCGCTGCGGTTAAAGGTGTGGGCCACTATGCCCACCTCCACCAGCATGCTTGTCACCGAGCATCCCACCCTAGCCCAAAGGACCACTTCCCAGCTGGACCCACAAGCAGCTTCATAGTCGGTCCCTTTGTTCCCACATGTCATGCTCCTCACTTACAGCCCAGTGGGAAACTTCTAAAAATGTAAAATCCTAGTCCTTACCTGGGCTTCAGGCCCCTCCCAAGTCTACCAGCTGCTTCTATCTCCACCTTGTTCCCATCACTAGCAGCTCAGCCATAGGCCTCTCCCACCGTGGCGCTTTAACACAAGCAGTTAACCTGGAAGACTAATGCCAAGTGCCAGACGCAGTACCTGGCTCAAAAACACCTGAAAATGGAGGGGCTGGAGAGATGGTTTAACGGTTAAGACCACTGACTGTTCTTCAAGGGTACTGGGGTTCAATTCCTAGCAGGTCACAGAGCGTCACAACCGTCTATAACTCCAGCCCCAGGGGATCCAAGGCTTTCTTCTAGCCTCCGTGGGCACCACATGTACGTGGTACAGATGTGCATGTAGGCGCAACACCCATACACATATAATAAAAATGAGAAAGCCAAAAACAAAAAAACAAAACTTGAAAATGGGCCAAGCTGACGCAAAACAGAGGAATTAAGACGAGTCAGGACTTTACTCGCAGTGAGGTAGGCCGTCTACAGAGTTCCAAAGGAGGTATCATTTATTTGTCTTCGGAAAGATCCTACTGGCTCACTATAACGACGTGTACCTATAAAAACAGCGCCTGGAGGATAAAGGAAGTTTAATGAGTTCAATGCCAGCCGAGGCCCAAAAATCAAGCAAACAAAATGGTAGCATGAAGACCATAGAGACCTGTGGGGAGAGAGGAGAACAGGGGCTGGTAGCCATGGAGAGTGAAAGGTGACAGACCTCCCCACACAAGGAGATTGTGCTACACTATGTAGGTCTATCTGTCTCAGCCTTGTAGCTGGGTCACTTCTCTATCTCCAGTGACCAGCAACTGTGACCAGCAAAGAGAAGGAACTCAGAAAATGTTCACTGACCACATCATCTGCTAAAACTAAATGAGCAAAGATTCATAGGGAGTTGGCACAGGACAAGGATGGCAAAAAGGAAGAAAGGGAGGGAGGGAGGGAGGGAGGGAGGGAGGGAGGGAGGGAGGGAGGGGAACCTAGTCTAACTCCCAGCATGTATAGTCTCCAGCCAGTCCTGGAGAGGACAACGGGTTTTGTGCTTTCCTGCTTAAACCCCGCCCCATCTACTACCACCTGTCCCCCCAGCTAGAAATGATTCTTTCAATGCCCTTGTGGCAGCTGGAGGAGCTAGTGTACCAAACTCTGGAGCTTAGTGCCAAGACAACCAGAGGTTGCAGAAGTCCCAGGAACATGGGTCAAAAAGACCCGTGTGCCCCTTCCCAAACCTGCCTCATCAGACCGAGGATAATCAGGCCGAGCCTTACTGTACACCCAAGGATTATAACACCACACGGACAAGGTCTAGTGCACAGCATGCCCTCCTTAGTGGGCCTCCACCCCTAAGGTCAAGACCCCAGCCTCCAAGTCATGCAATCTGTGGTCCTCCAACCCCTCCACAGTATGACAAGCTCCCATTCCAGCTGTTCCACCAGGGCAACACTGACTTAAACCTTTCTGGGCCTCAGTTTCAGCATCTACTCAATGGAGACAATAATCTACTCTGGCAGCTGGTTAACTATTTTATTAAGAATTTCCCAAGAGATTTCCTCAGGTTCCTCCTCTGTATAATGGGGTAGCATCCATTTCATGCACGTGACCCTCCCCAATTTAACGGCATCTTGAAATGACCTTAAAAGCCCGACAGCCTGAATTGCTCTGGTTTTGTTTGGTCTGTAGTTTGGTTCTGATAGGGTCTCCCTGTTTTGTCCAGGTTGGCCTGGACTTCACTGTACGCCTCAGAAGTGAACGCTGGCATTGCAAACCTGTGTCACTAAGCCTAGCCTGAACTGAACTGTGCTGAAATTTTATTAGGGTTGTCCCAAGTGTGTGTTTCCTTGCATACTGACAGCAGCGAAAGGGATAAGCCGAGAGGTCATGACGTATTGGGTCCAAATTCTAGCCAACCGCTTCCCAGTTGCAAGATTCTGGGAAAATAACCTCTATACCTCCGGAGTTTCATCGTAAAAGGAGACTCGTTCCTTCCCTAGGGAGCTATAATAATAAAAAGGATTAGTCTAGAATAATGCTACAAGGCGGTTTCTAGCCCATTGTAAACGCTCAACTGAACGTTTGTTTACTCAGTCATTCTTCCATCACTGGAACGAAACGAAGGGGAATTTTTAAGCACTCTAAATTTTCTTTTGGTCATCCACCAGATAGTCCCACAGACTGAGCTGACCCCAAGTCCCCGGTACACCACCGGGGACTTGCCTTCCGGGCCTCTCCTCACTAACACCTGGAACACCAGGGCGCTCTCCGGCCCCGCTCAAGGCCCGGAAGGTGGTGGACCCTTGTAGGGGGCTACATAGCCCGCCAGACGCCAGAGCCAGAACCGCTAGGGCCGCTTCCCCAAGGGCCAGTCTCTCCACGAGCAGCATGCTGCCTAATCAAGGATGGTAGCCCGCGCCGCGGCTCAGGGCGCCTGCTGCAGGGCACGCCGGGACTTGTAGTCCGTAGCTGCTTCCCACTCCTAGCTCTCGGCGGAACGTGGACTCCAACCCCCAGGCACCTGCGCGGCCAGGCCAGCGATTCTAGGGGTCCCGGGCTCCCCGAGGCCGGTGCCTCGACCAGACGCGGGTTGGTACGGACAACAAGCCCAGGGTGGGGAGCCGAGTCGCCACGGAGGACTGCATCCCTGGGACTCACCGACTTTGTAGGGCAGTTTTTCAGACATGCTGGCGGCGCTTCCGCTACGACTGAAGAACTCAATGAAGGGGGCCGGACGGCGCGGGGCAGGGATCTACGCCGGGCGCGCGCGGCTTTAAATATCTTCTAATTTGAATATTCATGAGTCTCGCTGGGGCTGAGACTTGGGGGCGGAGTCTGGCTCGAGGTGAATAGCTGTGCAGCAGCGGGGCTGGACTTCGATCCCTCCCACAAAAATTATAAATTTTATGCTCTGTGGCCTTTGGACTCCTGGCACCCGGCTGGAAGGGAGCGTGGAGAGAGGCGGTTCTTCTCCCATTCGTTCAGTCAGTGAACCACAGGTCAAAACGATGCAGAACTTTCAGGCCAATTACTTCACTGAGCTTAATTTCTTCTGGTATATTTGGCCGAAGACTACCAGTATGGAGCTGGGTCTAGTGGTACACGCCTGTAATCCCAACTCTCGGAAGACAGAGCCAGAAGGATTGTCACAAGTTCAAGGCCAGTCTGATCTACAACTAGTTAGTTCCAGGCCAGTTTGGGCTACAGCGTGAGGTTTCAAAAAGAAAGTTAAGAAAAATAACAAATTGCAATGTGTCACTCTCTCTTCCTCCCTCTCTTGCCCACCCCCACTCCCTCCTCAACAAGTCCCCATTCCACTCTCGTGTCTTTTCGTTGGTTTTGTTTGGTGACCCCGAGCCGCCCACACGGAAATGAGTAGGAGCTCTATACAAGAACATAGACAGCTCGCCAATGGCTCAGCGGCCATAACTGCCAGTAGCTTTCCTGAAGGAGCCAGGCGCCGCGCTGTGTGCAAACACCCACCATCTCTGGGGAGTTCAGCTGGGCCCCTTGTGAACGGATTGTCCCCACCGGAGTTATTTACTGTTTACATCTCTTCGTGGAGTAGAGAGGAGGGTCACAAGCCCTCTCCTGAGTCTTCAGTTGCACCTACTACCTGCTGTATGCAACTCTGCCTTAATCGAACATGATCTCAGGAAGAGGTTGGAAATTGTAGCCAGGGAAGGGGGCTCCAGCTACCTGGCTACTGGAGAAGCCCTCAAACCTGTTGGATAGAAGCTTTCTAGGTGTAGCCTTCAGGGGGCAACTTAAGGACCCCTCACCTGTGCTTTGTCAGGAAGCTCAGTGAACTGTTTCCCCTGAGTGATCTTTGGCAGAATCGTGACTCGGTTTATGTGGGAAGAAGAGCAGACTTTGCCTATGTCTCCTCCTGGGAAGGAAGTTTAGCAGCATCTTCCCCCATCCATGGCTGAATGTTGCTGGGATCTTGTGCAGGTCCTCAGCCTTGACCCAGGGCTTCTGTATCAGTTCCTACTTCCAGGTTCCTGCCCTGACTGCTCTCAGTGAAGCATTCTTACCTGGAAGTGTAAGTTGAAACAAATCTTCCTCGGATTGCTTTTGGTCGTGGTGCTTACTGAAGCAGCAGAAGCCAGGACACCCTCCCTCTCCCTACTCCATCCTCTTTCTCTTTTCCCCCCCTGCCCCATCCTTGTTACCCCATTGCCACTCAGGTGCTGACTCTCTGAATAACGCACAACCTGAAGATTTAATCCCCATCTCTGCTCATTGGCCTCTCTAGTGACAAGTATCCCAAAGCCAGGAACCAAAATCAGTCTCTCTTACACACACACACACACACACACACACATACACCACCACCACCACTCTTCCCTTTCCCTTCTCTCTCCTCTCTTCTTTCGTTTCTCTCGTCTGTCATTTCCCCTCCGTCCATGTCATTATGTAGTCCAGACTAGTCTTGAACTCAATATGTTGCCTTGTCCCACCTCAGTCTTGAGATCCTCCTGCCTCAGCTTCTCAAGTACTGAGATTAGCCATGCTGGGCTAACCATTTCTCCTGGTAAGCTGATTGTCTGGAGTATGTTGTTATAGCTACAGAACACTGACTAACACAGAAGTGTTCTTCTGGTTTCTAAAACAGACTAGATAGAACGCCTATTAATTCTTATTAAAACTTCTATTTGTACAATGTGTGTGCCCTTGTGAGTTATGTGCACCATCTGTGTGCAGGTGCCCATGGAGGCCAAAGGGGACCAGATCCCCTAGAACTGGAATTACAGGGAGTTGTGATCCAGCTGATATGGATCAACTTGGAAATGAAGCCTGGATCCTCTGCAAAAGCAGTAGTCGCTCATAACCACTGAGCCTTGCTGTGGGAAGGTGTATAGCTAGCAGCTACCCGCCTACTGGGGCGTGGCCTCATAGACTATTTATCTGGATGCAGAAGCACACCCAGCCCCTTCCTCTCTGCTTCCCCCTGGGCCCCATTTGCTGTTCGGTTTGCTTTGGATATGATCTTCATCCATCGTTCAAGTAGAGAATCCTGACTTTGTAAGTTTTACCTTTTAATAAACACCGGTCTATTTCTGAGTTCTGAGCTAGTGTGGGATTCCTTTTTTAAGCGTCTGATCACTCTGCCTTCAGAGCCTTCTCTTCAGTCTCTAGCAACTCTCTAATCTTTTGGTTTGGTTTTGTGGCAAGGTTTCTCTATATAACAACTTTGGCCATCCTGACACTTCCTCTGTAGACCAGGCTGGCCTCAAACTCACAGAGATCCACCTGTCTCCCGAGTACTGGGATTAAAGGCATGTGCCACCACCGCCCGGAAACTCTCTAATCTTTAGTTGTATTTCCCAGTGAAACTACTTGGACTTGAACATTTCTTTCTAGAGAGTGTTGTATATAAAATCAGCTTTATTTTTTTTAAATATTTATGTATTTATTTATTATGTATACAATATTCTGTCTGTGTGTATGCCTGCTGGCCAGAAGAGGGCACCAGACCTCATTACAGATGGTTGTGAGCCACCATGTGGTTGCTGGGAATTGAACTCAGGACCTTTAGAAGAGCAGGCAATGCTCTTAACCACTGAGCCATCTCTCCAGCTCAAAATCAGCTTTATTTTTCACAGTTTATTTATTTATGTGTTTCTGTGTGTGCAGGCCACCACAGCTCCACAGCTTGCATGTGGGGTTCAGAGAGCAACTGTGGGCTCAATTCTCTCCTTTTACTTCTGTGGGTCCCAGGGATCACACTCAAAGCATCAGGCTGGGTGGCGAGTACCTTTGTCCACTACGCCATCTTGCTAACCTCTGATCTGAGTTTGTTTTCCCAAGACAGGGTTTCTTTGGCTGTCCTGGAACTCACTTTGTAGACCAGGCTGGCTTCCTCTGCCTCCCAAGTACTGGGATTAAAGGTGTGCACCACCAGTGCCTGGCTCTTATTTTATTTGTTTTTTTTTTTAAACATTTAAACACTTTTATAACACTTAAACTTTGTACTCTTATTGTGTGCACATATGTTGTATGTGTGTAGCAAGCATATGGGTCAGAGGACAACTTCACTGGCGGGAGACCCTGGAACTGTATAAGATGAAAAAGAACCGGATATTAGCGTGTGTGCGTTCATCGCTCTCTTCTCACTGTGGACGTGATGCAGTCTGCTGATTCAAGCTGCCTTGACTTCCCCTCCATCATGGACTCTACCCTGAGCTGTGAGCGAAAATGAACCCTTACGGTTTCTCTGGTAAGGATTTCTTCTATCACAACGGAAAACAAAGGACGACAGCCCAAGAGGAGGTCAATCTTGGTGCACGTTTTTCAAGCACCTGAAACAAGTGTGTGTTCTGCTGTTGTTTAGTGAATCAGCTCAGTGTCAATTACATGCTGCTGGCTAGTGGTGATGCAGAGTTCTATAATCTTGCTGATATTATGCTTCCAACAGATGAACGAGCTATTGAAAATTGTCCTTTCCAATCCATCAACCTCTGCTTCATAGATTTCGCAGGTCTGTTGTTTTGCACGTACATGTGATGTCTTAGGGATTGACTCGTTTGTTATTTCAAAATGGAAAGGAAACCAGGGAAGAAAGATGAAGGAGCAGGGTGTCTCCCTAGTGCCAGACGGGAGTTGCTACATGGCATGTGGTTTGAAGAACGGTGCTATTTGGGTTTCTTTTTAAGTTTCCTTAGATGTGCATGTTTTTAAATGTGACCGTGCGCTGTTGGTGAGGCTTTAGGCCTAGGGATTTAGCCGAAAGATGCACACAAGTACGAGTGACGATGAAAAAGGTGTGCACACCCTTCAGTAGAAGATTTGCTAAGTAACGGTGCAATTCCCAGGGAGGAGTAGGGCAGCAACTAGTTTTTAAAGCTTTTTTTCTTTTGTGCATTCACAAGTGTGTGTGTCTGCATGCGACACAGCATCCATGTGAAGGTCAGTTTGTCAAACATTTATCAAAGAGCAGCTTGTGGCAGTGAGTCTCTCCTTCCACTCTGTGCAGCCTAGGGATCGTTAGACTTGGTGGCAAGCACTGTTTTTTTTTTTTTTTTAAGGGCATCAGATCCCCTAGACCTGGAGTTACAGACTACCATGTGGATTCTGGGACTTGAACCTGGGTCCCTGGAAGAGCAGTCAGTGCTCTTTTTTTAAAAAAACTTTATTTTATATGCATTTAGTATGAAGGTGTCAGATTTCCTGGAACTGGCGTTATAGGCAGATGTGAGGAGCCATGTGGGTGCTGGGAATCGAACCCTGATCCTCTGGAAGAACAGTCAGAGCTTTTAACTGCTGAGCCATCTCTCCAGCCCCGGTGGCAAGCACTGTTACCCAGAGACTGTCAGGTTGGTTTTTTGGTTTTTTTTTTTTTTGTTGTTGTTGTTGTCATTTCTGTTTATCTGTTTTTGTTTTTTGAGACAAGGTTTCTCTGTATATCTCTGGCTGTTCTGGAACTCACTCTGTAGACCAGGCTGGCCTAAAACTCACAGAGATCTGCCTGTCTCTGCCTCCCTGAATGCTAGGATTAAAGGCGTGCGCCACCAACACCCAGATGAGACTGTCAGTTTTTAACTGGAGGTGTTTATAAATATCAAACAAACTTCAAGGTATGTTACATTAAGAATTAGAAAAAACAGCATATAAATATGCTATTATTTGTGTAAAAGAAAAGGGAACTGCCAGGCGATGGTGGCGCACGCCATTAATCCCAGCACTTGGGAAACAGAGGCAGGTGGATCTCTGTGAGTTCAAGACCAGCCTGGTCTACAAGAGCTAGTTCTAGGACAGACTCCAAAGCTACAGAGAAACCCTGTCTTGAAAAAGA